TTTTAGCCTGATGACACAGGCTGAACAAAAATCATATATTCTGAATGATGGGTTACTTTTTGTTTTTTTGTTATTTAAAAAATCTGGGTTTTAAAAAATGCAATTCTGTGTTCTATGGAATTGTTCTAGAAATAGCAATTGTTCAAAAAACATCATTGTTAACACACAGAATAATATTATTTTGTTGTGCGTGGTACACTAGCTCCACGATTTTACATAATAAACCAATGAACAATGTCGGGGGATTTATAACCTACTTTCTCAAAAATTATGAGTAGACTTCTACCTTTAAGTACAAGTAATGGTACCTTTAGGAGGCTGTAATAAACTAGAGCTTCTAAATAAATGCCTTTTCTTCATGGGTAAAATCACAGTTTCTTGAATTTCTTCTATAATATCCTTTAATCCCCCAATATCTCGCCAGGCTACAGATATTCCTAAAGGGTCTATTAGTAATGCTGCTATTGACATCTCATATTCACTTAGTTTCACTCCTTTTACGCCAATTCTGCTCATCAATTTCTGTGCCTAGAAATAAAAATGACATGTAGCATGTAATGAAGGAAGGGCAGAGATGTATTGATCGTTTGCATGCTGAACATAAAGAAACAAAGAGAAAACCGCATAGATTTGAGGTTGTCAAATGCTTTTTTTGCAGATAAGAATGCAAAAGCATGATATTATCAATTAATAAAAGTACCTGTTTCTGTGCTTGAATCTTCTGTTTTCTTGTGGGGTCCATTTGGTCAACAACCCATTTAATACCATAGTAACTACATACCCCAAATATAGCTAGTCTTAACATGATTCCAATGAGTTCATTCTTTGTCAAGGCCATACCCCCTGCACTAGGCATGTTGAGTGCTACTATATATATATATAGCAACAATACTAGAGAAAAAAAGGAACATTTGTTTTTAAGTTTAATTAGTGCACTCAGGTTTACACTGTTAATACTGCAACATCAAGTACAAGCTTCGATGATCAAGAATTTGAAGCTACGCAAATGAATTCGCAACTAAGGGTACTGGTATGAGGTTTCTATTTATAGAGCATCTGCACATACAGTGTATGAGAAATGGTGGATTTTTGGTTCTTAATTATTCAAAAAGAATAGGTGCAATTTCTATCAGAGATGCGGCTTCTAACAGAGATTTAACAATATGTGTAAAAACATACACTGTATACTGTATGTAAAGTACTTTATCTTCACTTGGAATTTATTTTCACTATTTTCACTGAATGGATGAATCAGTGAAAATAAAATC